GGGAAAGAGGTGGCAGTCTCAACAATGTTCTACCCTTTTGAACACACCCTAGGCATACACTTGTATACAACTATAATTAAACTGTCTCCAGATAAGAAAGTTCTAGAGCAACTACCCTATATTTTTGAATAAAATAAATTCTTCTATCTGGGAAAGTTTTATTCTTCAAAAAGAAAACTTATGGAATGGGACCAGCTAAGTGAACCCTGACTATCTCTGAGATAAAAGATGAATCAGGCTGATGGGTCTCAATCCAATCTTGTGTGAATAAAGCAAGCATCGGGAAGTATAGGTGTCATCTTCTAAGGGAAATATTCTGCAACATAAAGAAAAAAAAAAAAAAGATAAGGATGGACCTTTTCCCCAATAGATAATGTAATTTAAAAGCAAAACTAGGAAGATAGGTAATGTGATTATCCCAATTATGCCAACAATGTATGTAAAGAAATCATATAAAACACATTTACTTATTAAATTGTTCCTGTCAAAATGTCAACCAATTTAACATTTCCTTAAAGAAGTGTTTAAGTGTTCTTAAAACGATTATAAGCCTTTACATTCCATCCCCGCTACTCATCAAATCATTAAATGCATCATGACTTCATGAAGTACTCTGGGAAACTATGAAATTTTCTGTAGAGTAGGGAAGTCAAATTATTTTTGTGAAAACAGCTAGGAACATGTTACTTTGAACAGAACATAGCCATTTCTGAGGTATGAAAAACCAAGTCATTTTTTTTCTTGAATGTTCATATTGCAAAAGAAGTGATGGTTCTGTGAATGGATTGATTCACACTTAAAATCATGTCATAACTTTCTTCTTTTTTCAATGTTTACTGATAGTTGCCCCCAAACTGACCTGAGGATCTGGCAGCATAAATCCATCAGTAAGTTTGTAATAGACTATTGTGGAGTCAGACTCCACTATGGCCAAAGTAAAAGACATCGGCAAATCTGAATCACCTTGCAATTTTCGAGATGCCTTCAAGATCTCCCTTATCCTGAAAATAAAGTCACAACACATTTAGCATTCACAATCACTCAATTAATAATAAGATCAAATACTGTAAAATCTTGGAGAAGAGGTAGGCAATAACATTATTTCCATAATGCGGACTCAGAAAATGTATGAAGGCTCAAATATAAACATTTAAAGTTGTCTTCTTATACAGAAAATCTTGCAAATAAGAGCTATCTACTGACTTTCAGTCCTTCTCTTTTGTATTCACCCATCTCTCCTGATCATCATACCTGAGAGAATCAAAACTGCATTTAGGAACCAACAGAATGGGACACTAACAGTATTTAGTGCATCTAAATTAGCTAAAGATCCCGGTTACTCATTTTTCCATTTTCCAACTTGGTATCTTACAGTGGAACAATTTGGTTTTCAAGTTTGTTTCTTTAAAAATAGACTATAATAAACATTTCCCCATGTTTCTACTGGTGTTAATAATTACAACCTTTATATGGCTATATAATATTCTATTGCTTCATAATTTATCCAATCATTCCCCTATTGCTGTAAAGTTCTTTCAGGTTTTTTGTGAGGAGGAGGGTGCTAATAAAGATAAGCTGTAATAATCATCTTTCTGCAGGTAGTTGTTTCTTTTTAAGTAATTCTGTTGGGTCTTTCCAGGTATCAGAATTATTAGATACGAATATAGATATTTTTGCAGCTCTCAATATGTATTCTGTTACTTAATAAAAGCTAAAAGAAAAATATATAGAGAAAAAACTTTTTTGTAAAATTATATATCAAACATCAATGTTATAAAGGATTTCAGCTTGCTTGCTGTGGAAAATAATCTACTAAATACAATATCTAGGTCTTCAAAACACTATTAGCTTTTGTTTACCACAAACTAAAAATCCTTATTACCTACTCAATAAAACCTGTATTCAATAATTCAGTAAAATATAATCTCCAGAGGAGCTTTCTTAAAAAGGCAAATAAAAAATGATCAGTTGTTTTTTCATGAAGGTAACCAATTTTCCAGGAATTAGAAAAAGATTTACTAGCATATTAACATGCTACAACTGAATACATAAATAACTCAACACTATATTCTCTTTAACAAAAGTCTGATTTGTCCCTTTAAATTCTACTCCCAACCCTAAGTAAAAATTTTTGTGATTCTTCACCCATCCTACTAGCTACTGAATCTATAAAGTATCTAAAAAGAAAAGTCTCTGCTTTGAAATACTCTTCCTATAGTAATTATAATGCTTTTTAAAAAACCTGTGGTGGAGACAAGATTTTAAAAGTGATTTAAAACAGCAATAAACTTCTAGAAAAGCTGAAATTAAATTGTTCTTGCTAAACCATCATTTAGTCACTACGTATGTTACAGAGTGATAACTGGTTTCTTAAAACAGTCACAAAAAGCTGCTTACCTACTATCATTTAAATTTCACAGGTATGTAATCAGATATGGAGAGAATGAGTTTATAAGTTTGTTTCCTCATAGTCAAACCATTTCTAAAATGACCTTGAAAGAGTCAATTCAACAATATGGCAATACTGGATAAATAAAATGTTTACCTGACAAAATCTTAATTCCTTTTCAAGAGTCAGCAAAGCATCATCTTCTCTCTGAAGTCTTCCCTGCCACCTTTCCCCAACCCTACAGAGGCACCTTGTGCAAACCAACATTACTGCAATCACTACCTTGTATTTATATTTACATCTAAGTGTCTGTTTTCCACTGGATTGTACCCATTTTGAGGGTCAAAGCTTTTTTATAAAAACTGCTAATGCTCAATATATAGTAGAATACTTGGATAGAATGAATGAGGCTTTTTTTTTCTTATAATATTTATTTATTTACTTCATTTATTTTGTCTGTGCCGAGTCTTAGTTGCGGCATGCAGGATCTTTAGTTGTGGCACGTGGACTCTTAGTTGCAGCACACATGTGAGATCTAGTTCCCCGACCAGGGATCGAACCCGGGGCCCCCTGCATTGGGAGGGCGAAGTCTTACCCACTGGACCACCAGGGAAGTCCCTGAATGAGGCTTTTTGAATGAAGGTTTCCATATGGCTATAACTAACTCTTCAGGCATATAAACTTTAAAATATTTCTGATAAACATTTTTCTAAAATTTATTATGCAATTCAATTACACTAAATAAAAGTTAAACTTGTCTTGACAGCTCAGGATCATCATTTTTGGTACTTATTACTGTAGATGACAGTGGTAGATGGTGTAGCAAATAACTCCTTAGAATTTAATTTCTTAAAAGTTTCTGGGGCTTCCCTGGTGGCACAGTGGTTGAGAGTCTGCCTGCCGATGCAGGGCACACGGGTTCGTGCCCCGGTCCCGGGGGATCCCATGTGCTGCGGAGCGGCTGGGCCCGTGAGCCATGGCCGCTGAGCCTGCGCGTCCAGAGCCTGTGCTCCGCAACGGGAGAGGCCACAACAGTGAGAGGCCCACGTACTGCGAAAAAAAAAAAAGTATCTGATATTTGCTTGCTTTTTGTTCATCAAAACAGTCAAATTGTTTTATCATTTGTCTCTATACCAGGGCCTGGCAAACTATGGTCACCTGTTTTCTATGGTTCATGAGCTAAGAATAATCTTTACTACATCTTTAAATGGTACATTTTGAATGGTCATATAAGTACCTACATAATAGCCTCGATTTTGCCACTCTGTCCGCAAAGCCCAACATATTTACTATCTACCCCTTTAAGAAAAGGTTTGCTGACCCCTACTCTACATTATGAAAAAGGTTAAGGGGGCTTCCCTGGTGGCACAGTGGTTAAGAATCTGCCTGCCAATGCAGGGGACATGGGTTCGAGCCCTGGTCTGGGAAGATCCCACATGCCGTGGAGCAGCTAAGCCCCTGTGCCACAACTACTGAGCCTGTGCTCTAGAGCCCGTGAGCCACAACTACTGAGCCCGCATGCCACAACTACTGAAGCCCACACGCCTAGGGCCCGTGCTCCACAACAAGAGAAGCCACCGCAATGAGAAACCCACGCACCACAACTAAGAGTAGCTCCCGCTCGCCGCAACTAGAGAAAGCCTGTGCACAGCAACAAAGACCCAATGCAGCCAAAAATAAAAATAAATAAATGTTATTTTTTTTAAAAAGGTTAAGAATAAAAACGGTAAGATATGATCACCAAGGCAGTGTTCCTTTTTTTTTTCAATATTATTTATTCAAAAGTCAGCACAGAAGGTTTCACTTCTAATGAGGATATAAAAGATCTCAAAAGACCACCATTCCTATGATAATAAAGAGAAAACACCTGATTTGCTTAACAATACGCCATCTTTCTTTAATGCCATAAAAGAGAGGTAAACACAAAGAAGTTTAAAGGAACTAAATTCCAATGAGCAATGAGCCCTTCCAGAGTAGAGACCAAGACACAGCCACTTCCATCCCTGCGGGCAACTGCTAAGTCTGGCCACAGTGGCTGGAGGAGTAAGCCAGTCATACACAAGCAACTTCATTGGGACCAGGAGAAAACAGCACTACTTGTAAAAATGGCACATGAACTGGCATGGTGGAATGGAATCTTAAAAGCCACCAATCCCTCCAGTTCACCAACTCTCACTCATGGGACTTTTGCTGTGTTTAAGCAACAGCACGAGAATCTGGGGAAGGGACTGGAAAATGGCAAGTAAGCTCTAATCACTAAGCCCTGCTGAAGAGGCTGATCCCATTCTTAAGACATTTGAAATCAAGAAGAGAACTGAGATAACTGAAGCTGCAATTCAGCCATGATTCCTATTGACTTCTGATTTGATTGACTAAATTAGACACTAATCTACCTGCCAGATAGAGGAAAGGATGAGCTCTTTGGAGGCGGGGAGTAGATTCGACATCTGTCTATCAACATCAGTCTTTTTTTCATACACAATGTCCAGCATCCAGTGAAAAACTCTAAGCTATGCGAAGAAGCAGGAAAATATATCTAATAATCAAGAGCAAAAAGTCAATACAAGATGGCTGTCAGAAAACTAAGGCTGTTGAAAAACAGATGTTGGAATTAGTAAAGACTCTAAAATAACTATAATAAATGTTATAGCACTGAGGAAAAAGACAAAATGAGTGACAAGATGAAAAATATAAGCAAAAAAATGAAAATTCTAAAGAAAATGAACATTTTAGAATTAAAAAATGTATTTTCAAAGTATTGACTAGGCTTAATGGTAGATTAGACACAGCAGAAGAAAGGATTTAGTGAACCTGAAAACAGGTCACAAGAAACTTAACTGAAGTACAAAGAGAAATTTTTTTTTCTTTAAATAAAACATCAGAGGCCGTTGATGCAATATCAGTTTAACATATGTGAAAATAGAATTACAGAGGAAAATAAGGAGAGAATGGTGTGTGTCTTAGTCCATTCAGGCTGCTATAACAAAATATCACAGACCAGGCAGCTTATAAACAACAGATATTTATTTCTCAGGGTTCTGGAGGCTGGAAAGTCCCAGATCAAGGAACTAGCATGGTCTCATTCTGGTGGGGGTCCTCTTCGTGGCTCATAGCCAGCACCTTCTTACCGTGTCCTCACATGGTAAAAGGGGCAAGGGATCTCTGTACGGTCTCTCTCTCTTTTTTTTTTTTTTTCAATAAGGCCCACCCGGATAATCCAGGCAAATCTCCCAATCACAAGATCCTTAACTTGATCTCATCTGTAAAATCTCTTTTGCCATAACATATTCACAGATTTCTGGGATTAGGCTGTGGGCACTGTCAACTACAAATTGGCACTTGCCATTAGCACTTGCCATCTACCTCTACAAGAATTAAATCACGTGCTACTGCAGCTGCTGACTTTCGACACCCCCTGAAAGGAGTTCAGTGTGGAGAGCAGAAATGAGGCACCCTGTGCTCTGGGAAAAACTAGCAGAACAGGTCTTCCGATAGTTAGATATTTTCAGGAGCTGATTTTATGAGCCCAATTCTTGTATCTCCTCATATCTAGAAAAGCACTAAAATCCTCTGTGGTGACGTCTGCTCCTCATGACTAGCAGAAACCTTCTG